ACGAAGAGCACTATTGTAGCATGGAGTGACATTATTTGAACACTTTTCTATAATTTTGCACAGTGTGGCATCACTATTTAATTTATTGTAATTAATATTTTATTTAAATTGGTATAATTAATTGTATTTTAGTATCACTTTTGCACAGTTTAAGAGATATTAGTTGTTTATCACTATATCACCAGGGATATATTATGTATATATGAGGATATTGCACTATTTTTTTCATTATTATTATTTTGCATATCTGTATAGCTTAAGAGTTATCATTTCTGTATCATCATACCACTAGGGATATTTATATATGGGGATATTGCACTAGTTTTTGATTATCTAAGTTGAGCGCTTCACCACTTATATTATTTTTATAATCATTAGAGACCGTTGACACTGCAGAGAATGTAGCCTATGCAATCATTAAAGACCGTTGACACTGCAGAGAATGTAGCCTGTGCAATCATTAGAGACCGTTGACACTGCAGAGAATGTAGCCTATGCAATCATTAGAGACCGTTGACACTGCAGAGAATGTAGCTGTGCAAACATTAGAGACCGATGACACTGCAGAGAATGTAGCCTGTGCAATCATTAGAGACCGTTGACACTGCAGAGAATGTAGCCTGTGCAATCATTAGAGACCGTTGACACTGCAGAGAATGTAGCCTAGGCAAACATTAGAGACCGATGACACTGCAGAGAATGTAGCCTATGCAATCATTAGAGACCGTTGACACTGCAGAGAATGTAGCCTAGGCAAACATTAGAGACCGATGACACTGCAGAGAATGTAGCCTATGCAATCATTAGAGACCGTTGACACTGCAGAGAATGTAGCCTATGCAATCATTAGAGACCGTTGACACTGCAGAGAATGTAGCCTATGCAATCACTAGAGACCGTTGACACTGCAGAGAATGTAGCCTATGCACTCACTAGAGACCGTTGACACTGCAGAGAATGTAGCCTATGCAATCACTAGAGACCGTTGACACTGCAGAGAATGTAGCCTATGCAATCACTAGAGACCGATGACACTGCAGAGAATGTAGCCTATGCAATTCACTAGAGACCGATGACACTGCAGAGAATGTAGCCTATGCACTCACTAGAGACCGTTGACACTGCAGAGAATGTAGCCTATGCATTCACTAGAGACCGATGACACTGCAGAGAATGTAGCCTATGCAATCATAGAGACCGTTGACACTGCAGAGAATGTAGCCTATGCAATCATTAGAGACCGTTGACACTGCAGAGAATGTAGCCAATCATTAGAGACTGATGACACCACTACAAATGCAGACATTCATCAGAGATGGATGGTATCACTTCCACCGCAGGCTGTCCATTAAATAGAGACCAGTGCCATCACTGAAAAGACAGCGAATCCATTTACTGGGGGGTGGGGACATTAATAGCAATGCTGCTTATCACCTAAAAACAAATGATCTTATTGGCTGTGTTTTTTGAAAGATGCTTTTATTGTTAATAATGTTATCCAAAGCGTATTAGCGCAGTGTGTGTAACCTATCAGAGCTGTACAGTGACATTCCCTTACCTCTACAGATTCTCATTAGAAAGAATTGTTTGTACAAAATGAACGATTTAATTTATTCCATAATTGGTTCCATTCAGGTAGTTCTTACAATGTACAGAAACAATTAACCCTTCAATTCACTGCATTGCCAGTATCTGCATCCTAAAATAATTCAGCCAACTTTAATTTCTTCTTCAACTTGCTGTACATCACTATAAACACAATAATGCCCAAAACGGAGGTAAGTACCAGGGCAAACTCCACGTACAGAGCAATCATGGCATCTTCTGTAGAGATTTCCAGTCCCAGGAAACTGACCCTGATGGATTCTGGAGTCATAGGGGTCTCACGGGTCACATGGGTCTCACGGGTCTCCGTGGTCAGATCTGGTCTAGGTGTTGTGACTATGGGAGGAAAGAAACAACTGGATCACAAAAGAGATCTTAAGAAATATGAAGTCGATAGATGGATCTTGTTATGTTTACACTTAAAATGAACCTATACTGTAATCATACCGAAGACTGTCTGTACCTACCTTCCATGTGCTCCATGCCCTTACAGCCCAAATACCCAATGTTTCCTAGTGTGAAACGTGGAATATACACTCACTGACCACTTTATAAGGTCCACCTGTTCAATTGCTTGGTAACACAAAATGTTAATCAGCCAATCATATGGCAGCAACTCAATGCAATTTGGCATCTAGATGTGATGAAGACGACTTACTGAAGTTCAAATCAAGCGTCTGGGGAAGAAAGGGGATTTAAGCGACTTTGAACGTAGCATGGTTTTTGGTGCCAGATGGGCTGGTCTAAGTATTTCAAAAACTGCTGATCTACTGGGATTTTCACACACAACCATCTCTAGGGTTTACAGAGAATGGTCCGAAAAAGAGAAAATATTCAGTGAGCGGCTGTTGTGTGGACAAAAATGCCTTGTTGATGTCACAGGAGAATGGGCGGACTGGTTGGAGATGATAGAAAGGCAACAGTAAGTCAAATACCCACTCGTTACAATCAAGGTATGCAGAATAACATCTCTGAATGCACAACACGTCGAACTTTGAAGCAGATGGGCTACAGCAGCAGAAGATTACACTGGGTAGCAAGGTGTACCTAAAAGTAAAGAGAGTGTATGACAGTCAGCAACATTCCCCCACTCAGTGGGTCACCCTGTCAGCCCCTATGTCACCACAGGATTTAGAAGTGACCAGGGAGTCCGCAAAAGGAACCAATGAGCATGGAGAGAGAACCAAAAATCCTTGTGATGCTTCTTGAGATGTTTTTACTTCTATGGAGCAGTCAGCGGCGGACTGACCATTCGGGCACTGCCCGAGGGCCCAGGATCAGTAGGGGGCCCCATGAGATGCCCCTGGTACCTTTCATAGGTTTTTTTGGGTGTAGTTTGAGTGTAGGCGAGGACACAGGGGCCCCATGATCCTCTATTACCCGGGGGCCCCATGAGTTGTCAGTCCGCCCCTGGGAGCAGTGTTCGAAGGCATGACAGATGGGAGAGGTAAATATCCCCTCTCTTCTTTAAAGGGTTCCATTTAAAGAGGCAATAAAGTTTCTTCAAAGCAGAACTTCATCCAAAGGGGAAAGCTTCACTCTTCTTTTTCCTCCCTACCTCCTCATCCACATTTGGATTTTATTTTTTTTTTATGGGGGGGAGCGGGTACCAGGTTTTGATAGGTACCTATTGTGACTTCCAGTCAGATTGCCTTGGCGGATCTCCTGGAAGTTGTCTTCCCCTCCCCGCCTCCTCTCGACCTTCTGGGGCACGTCACAGGTCCCGTAAGGCTGCGGGACCATTCACAAAGCGCAGTGTGGCTCGTTCATGTGCAGTGGGAAGCTGGCTGTGAAACACCAAGGAGTCACACCTGGCTGCCCATAGTTAACATGCTGGCACTGGAGACCCGAAGACCTGTGACCAGGTGAGGACAGAGCTGGATCCTTGAACAGGCGAGTCTCTGTTTGTTAAAGGTGAAGTATGTGGTTTTTTTTAAATCATACCTAGCTGGATGCAGCATTGATCCAAAGCTGCATCTGTCCCCTGCCGGTTTTAAGGCTGCATGCACACTTGAGTTTTTTGTAGCTTGAATCTCCAAAAAAGCTCAAACGTAAAAAAAAATCTATTGTTCTCTGTGGTGCCTGTTCACACCTGTTGACGCGAACAAGCACCATAGAGAACAATTGATTTTTTTAAAGTTTTTGGAGCTTCAAGCTATAAAACGTTCAAGGGTGAGAACTGAGTGATCAAACACCGCCAATTGCTCAGTTCTCTCTGCCACTCTGAGCAGAGAACAGTGACTGTCAGTCACCAGTGTCCAGGGGCGTCCATAGGGTTGGTGTCACCCAGGTGCGATAACACTTGGTGACACCCCCTCCGATGATCCCCACAGAATGGATCCGACCTGTGGATTGAGCATAATGGATCGGACTCCGATCCATTACGCTCAATCCACAGATCCGATCCATCCTGCGGGGATCGTTGGCTTGCTTTACAACTTACCTTTTCCTGGAGTGGGTCTGGTGTCACCCCGTATAGGTTGCATGCTGACGATCCCCGCGGGGTGACACTGGACCCGCTCAAAGAAAAGATAAGTTGTAAAGCAAGCCGACAATCCCCACAGGATGGATCGGATCTGCGGATTGGGGAGCATAATGGATTGGAGTCCGATCCATTATGCTCAATACGCAGATCCCATCCATCCTGCGGGGATCATCAGCTTGCTTTACAACTTACCTTTTCTTTGAGCGGGTCCAGTGTCACCCCGTATAGGTTGCATGCTGAATATACCCACAGGATGGATCGGATCTGCGTATTGAGCATAATGGATCGAACTCCAATCCATTATGCTCCCCAATCCGCAGATCCAATCCATCCTGCGGGGATTGTCGGCTTGCTTTACAACTTACCTTTTCGTGGAGCGGGTCTGGTGTCACCCCGTGCGATAGGTATCACCCGGTGCGGCGTGCACCCCCCACACCTGTTTAGGGTCGCTACTGCTGGTGTCTGCTCTGTTCCCCCCAGCGTTTACTGGAGTTCTGGGCTGTGGAGGGGGCAGGAGCGGCTGATTCACGCTCTCAGTGGTATGCTGAGAGACTGAGCCAGGTGCCAGTCCAGGCTCCTGGTGGATTCTGACCATATAGTCAGGAACTTTCCCCAGCCTGGACCGGTTGAAGCGACATCAGCTGACAGCAGACTTTAGCTTGCTGTCGGCTGAATACGGGTTACAGGAGTGCAGAATGAACTGCATTCCTGTGATCCGCAGGGGAAGTACAGCCAAAAGAGCTTTTACAGTTTTTGTAGCCGCAGGCTTTTCCTTTTGCAGAATTTTCTGAAGCTCCTCTTTAAGTGGACTCTTGCTAAACTTGGCGTTATGGTTGTTACCACAATATCGTGATATCAGGTGGAATTTTCTTGTTCTACTTGTGCAATACTTAATGCAGTGTTTCTCAACCTTTTTTCAGTTAAGGCACCCTTTGGAAAGGCACCCATTAAAATTATGGATAGTCAGTCACCCAAAAATTATGGCACCCATCCTTTAAAATTATGGACAGTCCCAAGGACAGTCCCATTAAAAATTATGGACAGTCCCAAGGCACCCATTAAAATTATGGACAGTCCCAAGGCACCTTTTAAAATTATGGACAGTCCAAGGCACCCTTTAAAATTATGGACAGTCCCAAGGCACCCTTTAAAAATTATGGACAGTCCCAAGGCACCCATTAAAATTATGGACAGTCCCAAGGCACCCTTTAAAATTAACAGTCCCAAGGTACCCTTTAAAATTATGGACAGTCCCAAGGCACCCTTTAAAATTATGGACAGTCCCAAGGCACCCATTAAAATTATGGACAGTCCCAAGGTACCAAGGGACAGTCCCAAGGTACCCCTTTAAAATTATGGACAGTCTTCTGAGGCACCCCATTCTTAAATGAGCTAATGTGACCTCAGTGTTGATGGAGAGGGGCAGGGGAGGGTCAAACTAGGATGCTATGTAGGCAACTGACATCCTCCTTATCAAATGATGATGTCATTGGTTGTCAGGAAACCAGCGGCTAGAAGGTCCTAATGGTGCACAATGAAAACCTGTGGCTTTGTGTAACTAAAAGGCAGGCTTGTTCCACCCGCTGGCTTGTATACAAGTTTTGGGCAATTTGTAGACATTTTGGCAAGGCACCCCTGAAGAAACCTCAAGGCACCCCCGGTGCCTGGGCACCCTGGTTTAGAAAGACTGGCTTAATGTTTTATAATGCTGTAATAGAACGTTGCAAATTTCTTGTGTACTCACAAGGCAAAGAGCATGTAACTAGAACACTTGCAGTCCAGTAACCAGAACATCAGGGTTTGGAGGAAAGGAAACCTTGAAGGTAGTGTTCCTTCTCTGTGTAGTTTCTGTGGCTCACCTGTAGGTTCCTGCTCGGCTCTAGACATGGATGATTGCTGTTCGGGTCTGGGAATCCATTACACTGGATGAGTTTTCTGTAATACTTGGTAGACTCCTTTGGGATGCGCGTCAGATTTGGATCGCTGTAATTGGTGTAATACAAACCGAACCTTTCTGCGTAACCTGTTGCCCACTCAAAATTATCCATAAGGCACCATGCAGTATAACCGCGGATGTCCACCCCATCATGCTTGACCGCTGTGGAGAAATAACAAAAAGGTCATGTTTAAAAAATGACGCATATTTTTGAGGGTATTGGAAAGCTTTAACCCTTTCTACACCCTTTACTGCAGACTTGAAAAAAATGCCATACATGCATTTCTATAAAAGATAAAGCCTGATTTGCGAACAGCTGATGTGTACTAATGTGCAAAAAAAAGTACATTCAGAAATAATGATTGATTCCATAATGTACAACCAGGTGAGTCAAAGGTACACACACACAGGGACAGACTGACCATTTGGAAACTCAGGCACTGCCCGAGGGCCCGGGGTCAGTAGGGGGCCCCATGAGATGCCCCTGGTACCTTTTTCATAGGCTTTTTTGAGTTTGGGCAAGGACACAGGGGCCCCATGATCCCCTATTGCCCGGGGGGCCCCATGAGTTGTAAGTCTGCCCCTGCACACACACAGCTATAGTTACCATAAAACCTGTGACTGGGGTGGTGTAGGTGGAGGGGGGAGCACCAAAGCACATAAATTACAGTTTGGGATTACATTTTGTTTTGTCTGACCTGGACACTTATAGGTAAATTTGCCAGCTTAACCGTTTTTTTCCGACCGCCCTATAGCAGAACTACTGCTACAGGGCAGCAGGGCTGTGCAAAATCACGTATATATATACATGATTTTGCATTTCATGATTTTGGGGGCACACGCACGCTGTCCTATCCGCGCTGACATCGGCGGCTACAGCTGTCGATCACAGGGTCCCAGCCAGTGATTCCCCGCCGGCACCTGGTGATCACTGACAGGGGAGAGGTCTGTATGTAAACAACACAGATCTCTCCCATGTCAGCACCAACCTGCTGCTTTTTATTGCTCCGTATAGCAGAGCAATACAAAGCAGCATGTTTCCCTAGTAAAACACACACAGTTATCCCTTTGATCACCCCAGATGTTAACCCCTTCCCGCCCAGTGTCATTAGTACAGTGTCAGCGCTTTTTATTGTATTACTGTCACTGGGGATGTCAGTGGCAGTTAGTCAGTTCCCCGCAGGGGCGGACTGACAATTTGAAAACTCGGGCACTGCCCAAGGGCCCGGGGTCAGTAGGGGGCCCCATGAGATGCCCCTTGTACCTTTTTAAAAGGCTTTTTTTGAGTTTGGGCAAGGACACAGGGGCCCAGGGGCGGACTGACCATTCGAGCACTCGGGCACTGCCCGAGGGCCCGGGGTCAGTAGGGGGCCCCATGAGATGCCCCTGGTAACTTTCATTGGCTTTTTCATAGGCTTTTTTTGGTGTGGGCAAGGACACAGGGGCCCCATGATCCCTTATTGCCCGGGAGCCCCATGAGTTGTCAGTCCGCCCCTGCAGGGGCCCCATGATCCCCTATTGCCTGGGGGGCCCCATGAGTTGTCAGTCCACCCCTGGTTCCCCCCCAGTGTCAGAATGCCCTCCGCAGTCCCACTATAAGTTGCTGATCACCGCCATTACTTGTACAAAACATTTTTTTTTGAAATTCCAGTATATATTTGTAAACGCTATAACTTTCACGTAAACCAATTAACTTAAATGTATTGAGAGGTTTTTTTTTTTTAGCAAAGACATGGAGCAGAATACATTTTGGCCTAAATTTATGGCAACATTTGATTTTTTTAATTTTTTTTACTGGACAAGTTTTATAGTAAAAAGTCAAAAATATTTTTGTTCTTTTTCAAAATTGTCGGGTTTTTTTTTGTTTATAGTGCAAAATATACAAAATGCAGAGGCGAACAAATACCACCGAAATAAAGCTGTATTTGTGGGAAAAAAAAAAAGACATAAAATTTCATTTGGGTGCAGAATTGCATGACCGCGCAATTGTCAGTTAAAGTAACGCAGCACCGTATCACAAAAAATTGCCTGGTCAGGAAGGGGGGTAAATCCACTGGAGGGCAAATGATTAAATAAAGAAAGTCCCCCCCACCCGAGAACGTTTGAATCAGATTTGGTCCACTTGGTGGCACTACACCTCTGGGTCAGATACTGTAGTCAGTGCTGCCCTGCTTTTTTGGTGGAAACCTCAAATGTATTACCCATGTAGGTGATTCAATGTCTTGAGGTCACTCCTTCATTTCAGCCTCATCTACCTTACAGGGTTATAGGGTGAGTATTGCTGCTTGCTGGGTCTGCGTCCAACCATGTTCTCTTGGATTTGTGAACTTGTTCTATATTGGTGTATTGTATATATTTTCTTCTGAAGAGTGGCTGGATTACCGGATATTCGTTCACTCAGGATCAGGGGCGGACTGACAACTCATGGGGCCCCCGGGCAAGGGCCCGGGTCAGTAGGGGGCCCCATGAGATGCCCCTGGTACCTTTTTCATAGGCTTTTTTGAGTTTGGGCAAGGACACAGGGGCCCCATGATCCCCTATTGCCCGGGGGGCTCCATGAGTTGTCAGTCCGCCCCTGTGTACAACCATCTCTAGGGTTTACAGTGAATGGTCCAAAAAAGAAAAAAAATACCCAGTGAGCGGCAGTTGTGTGGACGAAAATGCTTTGTTGATGTCAGAGGAGAATGGGCAGACATGTTGCTGCGACATTCAGATGGTAAGGTATACACTGTTCAAAAAAAATGAAAGGAACACTTTTTAATCAGAGTATAGCATCAATTCAACTAAACTCCTGGGATATTGATCTGGTCAGTAAGTAGCAGAGGGGGTTGTTAATCAGTTTCAGCTGCTTTGGTGTTAATGAAATAACAACAGGTGCACTAGATGGGCAACAATGAGACGACCCCCAAAAACAGGAATGGTTTTACAGGTGGAGGCCACTGACATTTTCCCTACTCATCTTTTCTGACTGTTTTGCATTTGGCTAGGGTCAGTGTCACTACTGGTTGCATGAGGCGATACCTGGACCCTGAATGAAAAAACCCCTGCGCTTAGATGACCCTAATAATAAAAAGCTGCTAGCACCTACTAAGTACCAGTGTAACATAAACCAAAAAAACTATAAAATTGGTGCAGCGCTACTAATAAAATACATACGGAGCAAATAAACCAACATAAGTGAATGAACCCCCTTTAGTGACAGCATAAATCAATCACTGGTGTCAAAATGCAATTGACACGCACTTAACAAGTGACTACGGGGTGAAAAAAAGTCCAATATGAGCACACAGGTGAGGAACTCTTCACACGTGGATGTGTCATACGTGCCACAGGAATCCCAAAACAATCTGAGTGCCCCCTCACCTCCTTGAAATGACCTCAAGGGCCAACCAGCTTTCCAAAGATAGTCAGGCAATCTCCTGTTGATCCCTTCAGTATGACCGGAATGATGGTAACTTTAACCAGACCTCTTCCACCGCTCTACCGACACCACTATCTTCCACTCAGAGACATAACCAAACAGGCTCCATAGTGCAATATATCCAATTTATTTAAATAAAAAACATAAATACCACCCACTTACATGTAGGCAAACGATCATGCACAGTAATCGGCAGTCCTCCTGACATGCGGCTTCATGGAGTCCCAATATGGCGCGGACGCCGGAAGTGACGTCACCGCGTCCCGGAATAAACAATGAACGTACCAACTCGTTACGTCACGAATATCACGTGACTTCATCAGGGATGAAGTCACGTGATATTCGTGACGTAACGCGTTGGTACGTTCATTGTTTATTCCGGGACGCGGTGACGTCACTTCCGGCGTCCGCGCCATATTGGGACTCCATGAAGCCGCATGTCAGGAGGACTGCCGATTACTGTGCATGATCGTTTGCCTACATGTAAGTGGGTATTTATGTTTTTATTTAAATAAATTGGATATATTGCACTATGGAGCCTGTTTGGTTATGTCTCTGAGTGGAAGATAGTGGTGTCGGTAGAGCGGTGGAAGAGGTCTGGTTAAAGTTACCATCATTCCGGTCATACTGAAGGGATCAACAGGAGATTGCCTGACTATCTTTGGAAAGCTGGTTGGCCCTTGAGGTCATTTCAAGGAGGTGAGGGGGCACTCAGATTGTTTTGGGATTCCTGTGGCACGTATGACACATCCACGTGTGAAGAGTTCCTCACCTGTGTGCTCATATTGGACTTTTTTTCACCCCGTAGTCACTTGTTAAGTGCGTGTCAATTGCATTTTGACACCAGTGATTGATTTATGCTGTCACTAAAGGGGGTTCATTCACTTATGTTGGTTTATTTGCTCCGTATGTATTTTATTAGTAGCGCTGCACCAATTTTATAGTTTTTTGATACCTGGACCCTACAGAGGTTGCACAGGCAGTCCAACTCCTCCAGGATGGCACATAAATACGTGCCATTGCCAGAAGGTTTT